TTGCTGCTGCTGCTGCTGCTCGATACGACTGCAGCAAACAAAGCCCTTGTAAATATTTATATTTTTGTGTCTTTGTTTGTATATAAATAAATAATATTATTTATTTATTTATTTATTTATTTATTTATATTATTTAATAATAATAATAAATAAATAAAATAAAATAAATAAGTAAATAAATAAATAATAAGTAATAATAATAATTATTATTATTATTGTGTGTCTTTGTCTCTTGTGTCTTCTTCTTCCTATACATTAATTATATACTTCTGTTTGTCTTGCTGCTGCTGCTGCTGCTGCTGCTGCTGCTGCTTATTTGCTGCTGTCTTTGTATTATTTATTATTTTTTATTTATTCTTTTTTTCTGCCTTTTTTTTTATTTACTTTTGTTTTTCTTATATGCATGCAGCATCTTTTCTGTCTCCTTTTGTCTCCTTTTGCTGCTATGTATATATACTGTATATATGTGTCTCCTTTTTGTATATAATTATTTATTCTTTATTTATATTTATATTTATATATATTTATTTATTTATATATTAATGGTGTCTTTGTATATTTAATTTATTTATTATTGTGTCTTTGTCTTCCTTGTGTACATAATAAGGAAAAGAATATAAAAAAGGAGACAGTCTTTTTGTCTCCTTCCTCCTTTCTTTATTTATTATTTATTTATTCAATATATATTTATTAATAATAATAAATAATTAATTATTGTGTGTATATTTGTGTGTGTATGTGTCTATTATTTATTTTTTCTGTCTATTTATTTCTTATTGTGTCTCTTTATTTATTTATTTATTTATTTACTTATTTATTTATTTATTTATTTATTTGTTATACATATAACTAATAATAATATAAAAAAGACAAAAAAAAAATAAATAAATAAAAAAACAACAAAGAAACAAATAAATAATATTTATATCTGCCTATAAATAAATAAATATAAAGAAGTTTCTTCCTTCTCTGTCCATTGTCTATTGGGTCCTCTTCGTACCCTTTGCACCCTCGGCAGCCCCAACAAAACTACATGCATGCATGCATGCATGCATGCATGCAGCCAGGAATGCATGCATGCAGCTTTGCATGCATGCATAAAGACGGGCAAGTAACCTTGCATGCAGGTATGCACGCAGACATCCATGCATGCATGCATGCATGTATGCATGCATGCAAGAATGTATACATGCCTACAGACTGCGTGCATGTATGGATACAGGCATACATACATACATGCATGCATGCATGCATGCATGCATGTATGTATGTATGTATATATAAATACTTTGATTAAAAGGTATAAAAAAGACTAAAATAAATATTAATTAATTAATTAATTAATATAATTAATTAATATAATTAATTAATATAATAAATAAATAAACAAATAAATTTATTCTTTTTCTTCTTTTTTTTGTGCCCACCTCCAGATAGCAATTGCTCCATCATCTCCACAAGAAATAAAATGTGTTGAGCCCAATGAGCAAACAGCACGAATATCTCCTTCGTCATGGGCAATTAGGGACCCTTCTTCTGTATAAATAAATAAATAAATAAATAAATAAATAAATTAATATAAATAAATTAAATACATAAATATACATGTACATATACATATACATAGATATATATACATATATACAACAAACAGCACGAATATCTCCTTCGTCATGGGCAATTAGGGACCCTTCTTCTGTATAAATAAATAAATAAATTAATAAACAAATATATAAATAAATTAATATAAATAAATAAATATATAGATAAATATATAAAAAAATATATAAATAAATATGTATCTATATATGTATACATTAATGTATTTTTGTTTGTCTATTGCTAATAGGTGGTGTATAATTGTGTCTATACATTTCCTATTCTACTTATATATTTAATTAATTAATTAACTAATTAACTAATTAATTAATTAATTAATATATTTATTTATTTATTTATTTTCTTACCTAAAAATTGCGGTACTTTAAGGACATTAAGAGAAGAATTTTTGCCTCCAAAGACCAACACGGGACCAGAGGGAGACATTAAACCTAAAAGCCCCAAAATAGCACAGCGCATGCATGCATGCGTGCATGCATAAATTCATGCATGCAACTATCTTCATAGCAGCAATTCCTTCCTCTTTGTAGATCTAATCTGCATGCGCATGCAGCCCCATTGCATGCAGCATAGGTACACGTACCTTCCATGGCGGAGAGGTAATTAGAAGAGAAGCAGTATTGGCGTTCTCCGTCAGCTGTATAGGCAGTTATTGCACCACTAGCAAACCCCACCAATAAAAAGTCATTAAAAGGAAGTAAAGACTGCAAAAAAAAAAAAAAAAAAAAAAAAAAAAAAAAAAAAAAAT